AAGTGGGCAACAGTACAAAATCTGCAGGGGATCAAATAATGATTTGCCACACTGTATATGTTTATGATGGGGAGTTCAGTCTGTGCTTAGTCTTCTATTAGGAGAGTCAGAGTTTCCTGTTACAAAAATTGAGAGAGTAGCTTGCCAAGGCTTGCAACTCAAACTCATCTAAAAAGTAATATTTTAAAAAACATATGGGGGAATTTATCAAAACTGGACAAGACGAAGTGGACCAGATTTGCACTGCAACCAATCAGCTTCTCTGTCTCATTTTCAAATCTTACCTGAGCAAACTGAAGGGAGATGCTGATTGGTTGACATGGGCAACTGCTCCAGATTCGGTCTGCTCCAGTTTTGATCAATTCCTCCCATTATTTTTAGATATGCTGTGATGAACGCACGTGGTGAATACAAGCTGAGGTCTATGGGTATAGACAAATTAATGTGTACTCCATGTACACATTAATTTGTCTATACCCATAGAGAACATAGAGAACTGGCTACAGGAACGGGTACAAAGAGTATCGATAAATGGCACCTTCTCGGATTGGGCTGGGGTCATGAGCGGCGTTCCGCAGGGTTCTGTGCTGGGCCCCATGCTGTTTAATCTATTCATTAACAATATTGGGGAGGGGGTAAACAGCCATGTTTCATTGTTTGCTGATGATACCAAAATCGGGAGGGGAATAGTCACTGAATCTGACGCTATAATATTACAGGGGGATCTGGATAAAATAGGGTAGTGGGCAACCAGATGGCAGATGAGGTTTAATGTGGATAAATGTAGAGTTGTGCACTTTGGGGTTAAAAACAAGAAAACAGATTACACACTAATGGGAGCACCACTCGGAAAATCCGAAAAGGGAACAGATTTGGGGGTCATTGTAGACCACAGGCTGAAAAATAGCTTGCAGTGTCAGGCTGCGGTAAACAAAGCAAGTAGAGTCCTTTCCTGTATTAAGAGGGGAATGTTTTGCAGGGACAAGTTGATAATTGTGCCACTTTATAGATCACTGGTTCGGCCTCATCTGGAGTATGCGGTCCAGTTTTGGGCACCAGTGAACAGGGGGGATGTCCTTGAACTGGAGAGGGTCCAGAGGAGGGCAACCAAAATCATAAATGGGATGGAGGATCTAAGTTATTAGAACAGGCTACTAAAATTAAACATGTTCTCCTTGGAAGTAAGGAGATTAAGGGGGGACATGATTTTTATGTATAAAATGTTTACCGGGGATAGTAACATTAGCAGCAAACTTTTTACAATTAAGTCGATGACAAGGACGAGAGGCCACCACTTCAAATTGTGGAGAAAAAATTTCTGCACAATGGGCGAAGGGGGTTCCTCCCAGTTAGATCGGTCAAGGTATGGAACTCGCTGCCACATGATGTGATTTCAGCTGAGAGTGTGGAATCATTCAAGAGGCGATTAGACGATTTCCTCAGGGACCGTAATATACAGGGGTACAAGCAGTGGCGTAACAATCACCATAGCGACCCAGGCGGCCGCTATGGGGCCCGGGCACAGGGGGGCCCGGCCAGGACATCCCCCTGATGCCGTGCGGGCCACCTGGGTCGCTATGGCTTCGAACGCGCCGCTGTTTAGATCACTGTCAGTGATCTGTGCAGGACTGCGTTCTTCTCCACAGCCGCTGCTGAGTCAATGAGAGCCAGCAGCTGTGGTGGAGAAGGCTGGACCCGGATTTACGTGCAAACATGATTCCCGCTACCCACCTTCTATATCTCTTTTCATTGATTGTAACAGCCCAAGAACAGAAATGTAATATATTGCAGCTTAGCAGTTGTTAGAGGTGGTGGCTACATCATTTTAATGTTTTTCTTTATTTTCCCCTGGTGATCCTGCCAGAAACACACTTCCTGTCCTAGTGTGACAACAATCACTTGCTGTATGGTGGAGCAGTGTTGTCACCCTAGGCTGCTCATTTCTGATTTGAAAAATTAAACACTTCCTCCTCTCCTCATTGCCATAACATAGATGGAGAGGTTTTCAAATTTACAAAGATGAACTGGCCAGGAATAAAAGCACTACTTGGGGTTTCAGAGGTAGAGTGCACAGGAATTTAAGACCTCCCTGGATTTCTAGCAGCATCAACGGGTGTTTTTGCTTTTTTTGGACAGATGTAACAAAACATTTTCAGTGGTATCATTAATAGATCAAAAGGGAGCATAAAAGAGATGGCATTGTTAGAGTTTACATAAACTTTAAAGAAGATCTAAAGTCGCAGCATATACTATTCTGTTTTAACATTAGTATTGTAATAGAAATAGGAATACACTACTTCTTTTCTGATAATGCAATGAAAGTTTACTTGGAAAAAATCCCTTTTATGTTGCGAGACAGTGCTGCCTTCCGTCTGCCATGTGAAATTGTGTCAGTGCATTGATGAAGTGCATCCTGTAGGCATCTTCAATAAGTAAATTTACAAACTTTTAGATCAATTTGGTTATTAGGAGTGGGATAGAACTTATGGAAATTCAGTATAGAAATACATCATTATTTTTAGTTTTTAACCATAGATACCCTTTAAGAGCACATTGGATTTCAGGTATTTTTTTGCTTTAAAAAAATTCCCTCGTGATCTTGTACTGGATAGGAGGTTTAGGGAAACTGAGCTGAGAGAATTGGAACTGTTTGGAAACATGATGGCTGTAAGTGTTTGGGCAAAAATTTAAAGAAATACTTTGCTGGGCAATGTATATTTGTTTGATCTGGATTAAGTATTTTTTTAAAAATGTTGATCTTTTAATACTACTTTTAAAAAAAAACTGCTACCAGCAATGTAAAAAAGCACCTATAGCTGCCACAAGAGCAAGCTTGGAGCAGCATTTTCTGCAGGCAAAAGTATGTATACTAGACCTTCTACTGCTCAGTTTTGATGATCAAAGCAAGACTGTTAATATAGCTTTATCATTTCTCGTATCTCACTAAGAGACCCAACAAGAAACAACCAAGCATTCCTAATTAGGAATCAGAATTTTAATAATCTGGAATATACATAAGGAAAGCTGAAGCATCTACACAATGACTATACAATTAAGATACAATTAAACTTTATTACAATGACTAAAAATCCTTCCAAGACTGACAATTACAAGTTCAGTGCAAAGGGTATTAAACATAGGGTGTTATTTAAAGGAGATGTATAGTTTAAGTGAAAATCTTTCAGATCCATATAAGTAGTTACCTCTTTTTCACAGTCACATCATGAGCAGCCGAGCAACTCATGTCACTCTGTTTACAATGCTTTGTGAGCAAAACTCTGCCTCATACAGTACATTAAGAGCCTCTTCATGCTTGCACGCACATTTTCACTCATGTTAGTGACACTAAACTCACGAGTTGAAGCTTAAAAATGCATTCAAGTATCCTAACTATTAACAAAAATGTACTTATTTGTGTATCACTCGGCTGTAGATCCTCATATCATCTCTGAATTCATGCTGAAATTGTCCTTCCTTCTGGAGGGTGGCTACTTTTGTTCCCCATGGACCCTGTCTGTGTTGTAAAGTAACCACCGCTCCAAGCTCACTCCGGTGATGGACCAAAATATCATGTTTAGTTTACTAATTTGTATAAAGATTGTAGTCTATCACAGGAGTGAGCTAGGAGCTGTGGTTACTTTACAACACACACAGGGACCATGGGGAACATGGTCCATGTGTGTCCTTCTGAAAGGCAGTGTCGGAGCACCAATTCAGAGATGATTTGAGCATCTACAGCTGAGTGATACACAAATAAGATACATTTTAGCTAATAGTTAAGGTACTTGAATGCATTTTTAAGATTTAACCCCTGAGTTTAGTGCCACTTTAATTTGCTCATTCTAAATGGGCACTCAACACGCCCCAGGGGCCAAAAATGAACCTAACTTAATTTTTTCCAGGACATATTTTTTTTTGCATGTATTGTGGGTTAGGTGCATTAGTTGTGTGTGTGTTTTAAGTGCATTAGGTTGCCATTAAATTTAATACCATTAAATGTGCAACATAGCACATACACTGCATGTTAACGCACATACAAACGTGGAAATGTGTTCTACAACATGTGTGCATTGGTGTGAATGCAGCCTGATAGAATGTCATTGCAACAAACTGGAAGAGCTGCAATACCAGATATCCCCATTTGGTGGCATCACAGTTTCAAATTCTGGTAAAACTAGGCAGCTGAGGAAATTTAAATTATTTCATGTTACAGTGTTGAGGGGGGGGACACATAAATTGGGAATTTCAATTTAAACTGGGGTTTCCAGTTAATGACACAGAAGAAGAGAAACAGTTTGTGGTCAGTTTTAGAGCTCAATGACTGAGCAACTTTTTTTGGTATGACAACACCACACTGCTGAATCCTGATTTCTAATTTGTTTCACAACAATTGTTCTGTATTGTACATTGTGGTTTATTTTTTATAATTGTTAGATTCATGGTTTCCAGTTATTGACTTTCTTGCTTTCTGTTGGCCATAGTTTTCTTTCTTGTTACCACCCTCCTCACCACAAAAACATTCTATTGCCTAGTTTGATGTTTATTTTATTGAAGAAGAACTCCATTCCAATTAAAAAACAGAATATTGTTTAAAGTGCACATGCCATGCATGACATAGCTGAACTTTCTTCAGGAGTTGCTATATTTCTATGCTGATCATCACTTTTCATTTCTTGTTGTGTGTCATTGAACTGGAACAAGTGTGCAGATTTGGAGTTTAAACTTCACAAGCAACTTCTGAAGGAAGTCAGTAGTAGAACTGTATATTTCATTCATGATCTGTTCATTTTAAAAATTAACATCTGTTCAATTCATTATATCAAATGATTAGCTGTATTTACATTTCTAGCAAAAGGAGAGCAGATATAGTCAAATTATCCTTGCAAGGAATAGGGGAACCAACAGTTTTGTTCTTTGCTGTATGCTAGTTCCTTTTTGAAAGTTATAATGTGGTTATGGAATAGACATATCAGAAACAGTACTTAGCAGAGTTCTTCTTGAATGGATTTCTCATTGAAACTCTCCAGTTAAATATGGTACTGGATAGTTCTGCTTGTCAAATCCCAGCACTGAGCATACCCCAAGAAGTCTCTGCCTAGCTTCCTTCTGATTGTTTCCCTCACAGGCCACATTGCCATAAGGTTCCTGATCTGGTCCATGCACTAAATTTCCCTCTAGGCGGTTGAAGCGGATGTGCCCAGCATTATGAAGCTCCGCCAACCTCTGTGGATTTGCTGTGCTACTTAAAGCTTCCTCATGAGACTGTCCTATACACATCAGCCCAACAAGTACTGTAGCCTCTTGGGCACCTTTTTCAGGCAATGCTGGCTCAATGCCACATGACAGTGCCAGAGCCACAAGCACCAGGTCAGTGCCATAGATATGGCGAATCCAGTCTCGTAAATAAAACCCACCCATGCGAGGATTAATTTCTAGTAACCTTGGACCAGATTCAGTCAGTTTAAGCTCCACATTGAAAACCCCAGGATAAAGGCTTAGTGCCTGGCAACTGCGCAATGCAGCCTGAACTAATTGGCAGCGTCTTTCTTGGTTCAGACGGGAGGGAAGGGCTGCTGCTGTTTCAGTAAAACCAGGAAGAAGGGTTGGCCCATTATCAGACACATATGCAGCCAAAAGACGGCCGTTAAGACCTAAAACTAGATCCACATCATGTTCAGTACCAGTAATATATTCAGCTAGGAGAGGTGGGGGTGTAGTTTGGACAGTATCTCTGGTAGGTTGGCTTTCGTCAAGACTGGTTTCTCCATTCTCTACTACTGCCTCAACCATTTCTTCTCCCAAACCTAACCTGACTTCACCATTATAGATTTTACTTTCATCTATTACAATATGTGTTTCATTTTTTGGCCTACAATCGTCGAGATCCACTCCCATTTTTTTAACTAGCTTCCTACACTCTTCTGCATCCTGCACTAAGCGTACACCAACAGCACCTGCACCAGACTCTGGTTTTATAACCAAAGGGTAAGAAAGAATAGATTCTGCAGCTTCTATTCCACCAGTTCCTGGACCCAGAGGGAAACTGGGCACAGCAAATGCCCTGGCATATGGATACGGTGGTGTGTGTGAGGCGCTATTGAAGAGACTTAGCTGTGTCTGTGTCTTGCGCTTGGCAAGTCTCACTGCATTTGGAGGAGGACCAGAAAGACCAAGTAAGTGACTTAGTATGGCGGCAAGAATTGTGCACTCATCCCAGAATGCCATACAGCCAGACAAACAAAGGGCTTTCTCCTTAACTATGGCTAAGATATTCTGAGCATGTTCCTCATCTTCACAATTCCGGTTGTCATAGTCATAGTGGATGAATGAGGCCACAAGAGAAGAGGCAAAGTGGTTCGGATCTGACTCCACCAAATGGATCTGAAGAAAATAGGGGTGTAAAAAGAAGTAAAAGGGTTTATGAGAACACCATTAAAAATAAAGGAATCAAAACAGTATACTATTGCACACAATATGTTACATATGTATGTCAGTCCCTGGTGGGTGCAACCATTGTCAGGGACATGAGACCGAGATGAATCTAGGACCTTCTCACAAGTCCCCCGCCCCCCACATGCACGCACATACAACACAAACATGCGTCGGATGCACTTACCTGCAATAACGAAAAGTGCGCCACACATGTTACATATCGTCTCGAGCGCCGTAGTGAGAGCAATAATTCTAAGGCCATCAATCACTGTTAACACTAAACTACACTATCTAGTGCTCGAAAGACATAGTTACAGTCAGCAACACAATCATTATGCTGTAGCATCTCCAACAGTCTGTACATCCAGTGGCATGGTTTGCCCTGTCCACCTGTAGGGTGCTCCAGATCATGGCCTCATGTTGGAGTATGTGCATCAGCATGTTGCCACTCGTGTGTTAGCATGTGCTAGCATGCATCTCTAATGCTGGGCTTGTTCACAGGCAAAAGAGGGTATTCAACAGACATCCCAACTCTCCCGGACATTCCGGGAGTCTCCCGCTATTAAATAGAGGCCCACCTGTATGCTAGTTCCTTTTTGAAAGTTATAATGTGGTTATGGAATAGACATATCAGAAACAGTACTTAGCAGAGTTCTTCTTGAATGGATTTCTCATTGAAACTCTCCAGTTAAATATGGTACTGGATAGTTCTGCTTGTCAAATCCCAGCACTGAGCATACCCCAAGAAGTCTCTGCCTAGCTTCCTTCTGATTGTTTCCCTCACAGGCCACATTGCCATAAGGTTCCTGATCTGGTCCATGCACTAAATTTCCCTCTAGGCGGTTGAAGCGGATGTGCCCAGCATTATGAAGCTCCGCCAACCTCTGTGGATTTGCTGTGCTACTTAAAGCTTCCTCATGAGACTGTCCTATACACATCAGCCCAACAAGTACTGTAGCCTCTTGGGCACCTTTTTCAGGCAATGCTGGCTCAATGCCACATGACAGTGCCAGAGCCACAAGCACCAGGTCAGTGCCATAGATATGGCGAATCCAGTCTCGTAAATAAAACCCACCCATGCGAGGATTAATTTCTAGTAACCTTGGACCAGATTCAGTCAGTTTAAGCTCCACATTGAAAACCCCAGGATAAAGGCTTAGTGCCTGGCAACTGCGCAATGCAGCCTGAACTAATTGGCAGCGTCTTTCTTGGTTCAGACGGGAGGGAAGGGCTGCTGCTGTTTCAGTAAAACCAGGAAGAAGGGTTGGCCCATTATCAGACACATATGCAGCCAAAAGACGGCCGTTAAGACCTAAAACTAGATCCACATCATGTTCAGTACCAGTAATATATTCAGCTAGGAGAGGTGGGGGTGTAGTTTGGACAGTATCTCTGGTAGGTTGGCTTTCGTCAAGACTGGTTTCTCCATTCTCTACTACTGCCTCAACCATTTCTTCTCCCAAACCTAACCTGACTTCACCATTATAGATTTTACTTTCATCTATTACAATATGTGTTTCATTTTTTGGCCTACAATCGTCGAGATCCACTCCCATTTTTTTAACTAGCTTCCTACACTCTTCTGCATCCTGCACTAAGCGTACACCAACAGCACCTGCACCAGACTCTGGTTTTATAACCAAAGGGTAAGAAAGAATAGATTCTGCAGCTTCTATTCCACCAGTTCCTGGACCCAGAGGGAAACTGGGCACAGCAAATGCCCTGGCATATGGATACGGTGGTGTGTGTGAGGCGCTATTGAAGAGACTTAGCTGTGTCTGTGTCTTGCGCTTGGCAAGTCTCACTGCATTTGGAGGAGGACCAGAAAGACCAAGTAAGTGACTTAGTATGGCGGCAAGAATTGTGCACTCATCCCAGAATGCCATACAGCCAGACAAACAAAGGGCTTTCTCCTTAACTATGGCTAAGATATTCTGAGCATGTTCCTCATCTTCACAATTCCGGTTGTCATAGTCATAGTGGATGAATGAGGCCACAAGAGAAGAGGCAAAGTGGTTCGGATCTGACTCCACCAAATGGATCTGAAGAAAATAGGGGTGTAAAAAGAAGTAAAAGGGTTTATGAGAACACCATTAAAAATAAAGGAATCAAAACAGTATACTATTGCACACAATATGTTACATATGTATGTCAGTCCCTGGTGGGTGCAACCATTGTCAGGGACATGAGACCGAGATGAATCTAGGACCTTCTCACAAGTCCCCCGCCCCCCACATGCACGCACATACAACACAAACATGCGTCGGATGCACTTACCTGCAATAACGAAAAGTGCGCCACACATGTTACATATCGTCTCGAGCGCCGTAGTGAGAGCAATAATTCTAAGGCCATCAATCACTGTTAACACTAAACTACACTATCTAGTGCTCGAAAGACATAGTTACAGTCAGCAACACAATCATTATGCTGTAGCATCTCCAACAGTCTGTACATCCAGTGGCATGGTTTGCCCTGTCCACCTGTAGGGTGCTCCAGATCATGGCCTCATGTTGGAGTATGTGCATCAGCATGTTGCCACTCGTGTGTTAGCATGTGCTAGCATGCATCTCTAATGCTGGGCTTGTTCACAGGCAAAAGAGGGTATTCAACAGACATCCCAACTCTCCCGGACATTCCGGGAGTCTCCCGCTATTAAATAGAGGCCCCCCCCCCCGGCCGCGGTCAGTCACAGAAAAAAAAAACAGCATAGGAATGAATAGCTGGATAGCCATCTAGCCAATAGCAATCTAGCTATTCGTTCCTATGCTGTTTTTTTTTTATTGTCACAGCAGCATCTGTCAGAATACTAAAAGAAAAAAACCCTGTGGATAGCACAGTAAGAAAATAGCTTCTTTGCTATCTGCTTTAATTTCAGGGGGGATGAGGGGTAACAGAGGGCACCTCAGTGAAATAAGAAGAGCACCTCCCTGAAATTACTTAATTACTTTTTTTCAGGTTGGGATCCCTGTATTTAAGCTCCTTCCCTCCTGGTGGCCAGTGCTGTGACATCTTGCCAGCTACACCGTGCCTGAAATTCTGTACTTGCTTTGCCTTTTGCTCACCTGAATTGCCTGATCCTGCTCATGTCTCCTGCCCCGGTTGCTGATTCTGATTGTACCTGTTACTCTTTCTTGCCTGTCATCTGCCTCGACCTCAGTCTGAACTCTGTCCTTCCTTTATCTGCACTCTGCCTCCACAATGTAGTCATCTTGTTTATGGTGGTGCAATCCTGACAGCCATGACCTGGTGTCTGCAACATAGCGCGAGGATTACTAGGGCCATCGGCCCATCACTCCTTGCAGGGTTTTCTGAAGACTATGACTCAATTTCTTGGATAAACCTGCCTCACTTGCCAGGAGTGTCACCTGTAACAACTAGACTGAATTATTTTGTAGCTACAGACAACAGACATTTGTATTGTTTAAAGTGACACAAAACTCAGGAGTTAAATCTTAAAAATGCATTCAAGTACCTTAACTATTAAAGGAGAACTATGAGGTGAGTGCTTTTCACTCGCCTCATAGTTCTAGCCGACCTGTGACAATGAGACTGTTCGCTCACCTCTCGATCCTGTCACGGCTCTCTGCCGTGACAGGGGAGGGGCTGGATTCCCCCCTCCCCGCTCCGATCCGCCAGCGCTGACTGGTGGAATCCAGCTGTCCGTCACGCAGCTGGGCGGATCCAGACATAATTGTCGGGATCCGCTTCAGCTGCGGCGTCTCAGTATACCGCGAGCAGTAGCTCGCGGTATACTGCGGCGTCTCAGTATACCGCGAGCTACAGCTCGCGGTATACTGAGCCTAGGGTAACGGGAGGACACTAGTTTGTGTCCTCCCGTTACCCTAAGGAGAACTATGGGGGAAAGCCTTAACCCCATAGTTCTCCTTTAAAGATGTAACTTATTTGTGTATCACTCAGCTGTAGATTCTCAAACCATCTCTGAATTCGGGCTGATACTGTCCTTCCTTCTGGATAGTGGCTACTTTTGTCCCCATGGTTCCTGTGTGTGTTGTTAAGTAGCCACCAGGGGCGGACTGACCATTCGGGCAGTCGGGCATGGACCGAGGGCCCGCGTGGCTGCGTTTGTCGGTGGATCCAGGAATCAAGTGAGTATTTTGTATTTTTTTTTTTAAATGTTGTATTTTATGTTCCCAGTAGAGCTGCAACAGTCTTGCTCCCATGATGGACTACAATCTCATGTTTAGTTTACTGATTTGTATTGAGATTGTAGTCCATCAAGGGAGCAAGCTTGGAGCGGTGGCTATACAACACACACAGGGGCTATGGGAAACAAAAGCAGCCACCCTCCAGAAGGAAGGATGCACAAATTAAGAGATGATTTGAGGGACTACAGCTGAGTGATGCACAAATAAGTTAGAATTTTGTTATTAGTTAAGGTACTTAAATGCATTATTAAGATTTAACTCCTGAGTTTAGTGTCACTTTAAAATACAGTTAGGGTATGTTCACACCACACAGTGCATAGCACATAACGTGCGTGCGCTGTTGTGAACATGTACTGCCTGCATCATTTTATGGCAACACACACCAACACAATGTGTTGGCATGTACAATCCCTATACAAAGCAAGTTTTTTTGGTCTGTCTGTGTTGTTGTGGCACTGCGTTGGTCAAAACGTGGGGCTGGTGTGGCAAGCCCTTATACATAAAAAGAGATACTGGTAGTTATAAATGTGTCTATGTTAAAGGGTGCTTGAGATACAATGACATACACAGAGCAGTCCATTGTTTAATGGGTTTCATAAGTTGGGAACATATTTTTTATAATGCTGTGAAGATAGTAATAGCGGCTACAACTTTACCTTACACACATGAACACTGAAGCTACAAGCCATTCAGATGGTCCCGTGCCACAAAAAAACAAAGTGTATGTACCTTGAATCTTCAAAAAGCATTCTGTTATTTTTGCCTTTTTAAACACAGTAATAAGTCTCTACCCACCTTTATTCCGTAGTCACG